ATCCAGTTGACGACAACCATTTAGATGTAAATGCTAATTTAGATGCTAAAATGTTCGCCTCTAATTCAAAGATCCCGGATTCGAATCCGGGTAGCAATGGGAAAATTTTCTTCTCTGAAATTGTCTCCTTCCACCTCCTTTCCTGCTCTCTAGTAATGTCATGTCATCTACTTTCGTCTCCACTTTCTGTCCACGCCTCCTTTGGGCTCCTGACTCCTTCTGCTGCCTTTCTACTGTTTCTCCTTGGCTCCTTCTTACTACTGCTGTCTTTCAGCCACACCCCTGATCTTCTGGTGAGAAAGATCTACACCTAGCCTTCTCGGACATGGGCGAAAAATCTCGCAGGTCCCGTGTGCAAGTTGTGCACGTAAAAGATCCCTTGGTGGTCTAAAATCGATAAGAGTAGGCTTCGGCCGCCACCCGGTCAAAATTCAAAATTTCCTACAACTGAAAATGTTTATTGTGTCCAGCGCTCTCATATGACCTTATGCAGTTGCGAGCACTGTAAATTGTAAAACACTTACAAAAACTAAACACAATGAAACCAAGCCGGCACAGTTCCGTTTCGTCGGCGTCAATAAACTGGGTGCAGCACTGGACAAAATTTTACGCACAACACGTAGATCTATTTATTTTCCATTGAGTCACGGATTTTCCAGGACCTTCCTGAATCATGCCAACCCAGTTTTGTCACATAAAGAGACTACTTGGCCTTCGAGAATACATGTGCATGTTCTGCATGTAGAAACGAGTCTGATATAATATAGTGTAAAGCGCATAGAGCCTGCTGTTGAGCGGGGATATACGCTATACAAATGCTATCTATTATTATTATTATTATATTTAATTGACAAATACGCGTAGCGCGTGTGAATTGCACATCCGCAAAATAATGAGGTGACCAGATTGGTTTGTATTTGACAATCCTTTAATAAGTCATAAAAATATGTTAGTAAGGTTTTTTACGGCGCTGTCAACTGCATAAAGTCATATGATAGCCAAAGGGTGGATAACGGATGTCAACAGATAAATCCAAGCAGGGAATCAGGCTTACTCTGCTCACCTCTCTAGCCTCAACAGCACAAAGTCTGCTTCGACTATAAAGGCACCCTGGAAAAAGCAGTTCACAAGAGAGTGGCAAACATGCCAAAGAAGTAGAGGAAAAATGATGATAGTAAGGATGAGGAAAGAAAAAGCAGAAGTTCACCCTATATTTTTTCGGCACAGTATGAGCATGGCATTGATAAGTCAGCCCATTTACAATTCTACTATGCATATGAACATGTTTATATCCCTCCTTTGGGAATGGCCTAAAGACACTTCAGTCAGTGGCATTGCCCCGGGGGGGGG